TTTTTTGTTGTTTTTTTTAGTGAAAAAAGATGACTCTTCAGATTACCATTTCTTTTAGGTAATTGAGAAGTTGCATTAAAGAAACCGCCTGCACAGTAAATACAAATGGTTCTATTGCGATTATTTCATAATTGAACCAGAAAAGCACATTAATTTTGGCATGTTTTTTTTTTTTTTTTATTATTATTATTTATCAATACTGCCAGCCCAATATAGGGCCAAGGCAGGAGTGGGGTGATACAGTGTCACACATGCACATTATAAACACAACAGTTCTAAACAAAAAGCAATCTTGGCACCGAAAATTAATATCTACGACATATTCGAAAGAAGAGAAACAATACAGTAACCAAATGTAATACTAGTAATAACAATAACAGTATAGCAGTAAATGTAACAGCAGTAATAAAAAATAAAGACAGTAAAATAATTTCATAAGAGCAATAAAAGCAATCTCGGCACTGAAAAATATTATCTACGGCTTTTTCGAAAGAACAGAGTGAATCAATATCGACAACATCGCCGGGAAGGCTGTTCCACAAATCAATTGTATGCACAAAAAAAGATTGTTTATAGCTATTTATTCGAGCTTTAATAGGGGGCTACGGTCTTTGAGTGATGCAAGCGTTCCGAGTAAAAACTTTTTGGTTTTAAGTAAACGGAGCCATCAATTTTTATACAGTTCTTGAAAATCTGAAAGAACAGCTTCAACCGTTGGCTCTCTCTTCTGTTTGACAGAGGGCTTATATTGGCTCTCCTTTTAAGTTCGGTCACAGACGTAGTTCGTCTGAAATCTGAAAAAACTATACGCACAGCTAGCGACTGAATATCTTCGAGTTCTCTGACCAGAGAGCTCTGCCATGGGCTCCACACTGCAGACGCGTATTCTAACACAGGTCTAATAATTGTCTTATACGCAAGAATTTTAACGCAAGGGGGAGTTTTACCCAGCGTTCTCTTCAGGTACCACAATTTGTTAGTTGCCCGCTCTTTAACATACTCCACATGCCTTTTCCACCCGAGGTCAGAAGACAAAATCACTCCTAAATATTTGTAACTATCCACTTCAGTCAATACTACGCCAGCAACCTCATAGCTAAAGTTTAAGACAGTTCTTTTTGTTGTTATGTGCATGTACTGAGTTTTGCTAATATTAATCTTCATGTTATTTTCACGACACCAAGACGCAATGTTAGCCAGTGCTTTACTCACTTTTGTCTGGTCTTGTATTTCAACAACGGGACTGTAAATGACGCAGTCGTCGGCAAACATTCTTAGCTTAATTGGGACATCTTCATTGGATGGGAACAAACTGTTAACGTAAGTTAAAAAAAGTAGGGGCCCTAAGACAGAACCTTGGGGCACCCCAGAATGAACATCTAACAGCCCTGAGTAAGTACCATTTATATCCACAAATTGTTGACGGTTTGAAAGATATGCATTGATCCACTTAGTCAAAGAAAAGGGAACTCCGAGATCAATTAATGTCTTAATCAGTCTGCGGTGAGGTACCCGGTCGAATGCCTTCGACAGGTCGATGAAAACTGCATCAACCTGCGTACGGTTGTTAACGTAAGTGGCTAATTCATGGTAAAATTCAATCAACTGGGTTACCGTTGACAGGCCACTGCGGAAACCATGTTGGTTGGGGTTTAGAACATTATGCATTTCTAAGAAAGAAACGAGTTGTTTGGTTATGATATGTTCTAGTAATTTACAGGCCGTGCAAGTCATGGAGATGGGACGATTCATGGAGATGGGACGATGGGACGAAGAGTGCTAGAGCGACGATTCATTTTTGATACGAGTGCTTGCTTTCCTCCTGTAATGAACGAGCCCAGGTTGGTTAACACAGCTGGTGTCAAAGTTTATGTACGAACGCAAAAGCTGAAGGTAGTCCTGATTTTTCGAGCCTTTGAACAGTGGCGTGGGGTTTTGTAGTGTCTGAGAATAAAGAGGCACTGCAGACAAGAAGACTGTGTCCTCGGTGTTGCTTGCCCACCCCCGTAAGATGTGGAGACACACTTCATTGAAAACCTACGTGATTTACTAAGACAGGGCTTTCTGCAGAACCCCGTAGGGGGCTGTGCAGAGAATACAGGTCGACATCAAGCCTTCAGAATTCACAGGTACCATTCGACAAGAATGCTGTAGCTGGACTTGAAACAAGCCGACGTGGGAAAGTACGGAAGCCGAGAAAACAAATGTGTCGGCCAAGCCGCAGCAAGGACGTCCCAGCACGACTGCAGACAGCGTTATCCTGGCTGTGCAAAGTGACCACCGTAACACAGAATGGACGTCCCTCGGAGACAAATGGCAGACTTTTGCTTTCAGACAGAAACAACGCCTGCGTTCAAATTTTGGCCGTCAAGGGAAAAGGGACGTAGCTTGAGGGTTCAAACTGAACAGGTAGCAAGCTAGAAGGTTACTCGTGCTTCAGTTTAGCTCATCTTGCGCCAGAAAGTGCAGAAGGGGACAGAATAGAAAGTGTGGGGCCAGTTGTACTGTAGGGGCATGTCTACAAAAAGCTCCGTAGGGTTGTGTGGAGGCCCTCTTGCAGCACAGATGTGTATTTGTCCTCACCGTCTCTGGAAAAGACGACCATAACACAGAATGAACGTCCCTCGGAGACAAAAGGCAGACTTTTTGTATTCCGCAGTAACCATGCCTGCGTTCAAATTTTGGCCGTCGAGGGAAGAGGGACGTAGCTTGAGGGTTCAAACTGAACAGATAGCAACCTAGAAGGTTACTCGTGCTTCACTTTAGCTCATCTTGCGCCAGAAAGTGCAGAAGGGGACAAAATAGAAAGTGTCGGGCCAGTTGTACTGTAGGGGCATGTCTGCAAAAAGCTCTGTAGGGTTGTGTGGAGGCCCTCTTGCAGCACATATGTGTATTTGTCCCTTCCCAACAAGTTGATAGTTGTACGTACCTATAATGGTTTTCTAATTACGAGCGAGCGGCAGCTCTTTGAAGTCTTGCTCGCGCTCTGGTGAGCCTTCAAACGACTAGCGGCTCCGCCGAGCGCGCGCCGCACGAGATGAATGAATTAAAATAATCTCGCGCGCATAGCGAACGTTCCTTTTACCCGAGGGAGCGCTTCAGAACAAAAAAGCAAATTGTGGTAGCAAATGGTGAAGCGGTGAGCAATATCGAACCTGAAAATGACTGCTTTCGTGCGGGAAGTCACATCAGTGCTCGTAGATTAAACTATCGACTCGATCCGAGGCAAACTACAGTCGTCGGGTCTTCTACGGAACGCGTGCTCACGTTTGACACCAACATCGCGGCTCGGAAACGAAAATTCAGTCTCGGAGGTCCGAACACATGTTCGGAAAGTACAATTGGCCGCCATGACCATGCCCACGGCAAGAGCGTCGTAGCATCGCGAAACCTTTTATTACACACGTTCAAAGTGGTGTCCGTAGAGTCTAGAAAGACCAAGGAACACATCGGTGCTAGCGGTGACGAGATACGACGAGTATTAATGAAGCGAGATCGAAGAAAGGATCGGTGCCTAAAGTGAGGAATGCGAATGGCTGGCTTCGATCCGAAAACTTTCAAACGTCGTTTATTTCGCGAAACTTGAGATGAGCTGACACGGTTTCACTGCACACACACTTTCATATGATGTTGTTTTCACGACCACAATCGATGAATGCACTCCAGCGGTCTTGAATATTCACGGGTGAACGATTGAACTTGGTCGGGGTTTTTAATCTCCCAGCAGATTCCCAAAAACCTGTTTTCGCGAGTATAACGAGTTCTAGACGAGCTGGAGCGATGAAAATTTAACAGTGCGTCTAAATTCAGAGCGCGATCATTCGCTGCGAATTAGAACCTTCTAACTATCGTAGTTTTCTTTATACGAGCATATGCCAAATCACAACACCACAGAATGAAGCCTTACACGTAAACTTTTTATTCGTAACTTTCTTATTAGATTAGCTACATCGATGAGACGCGCCTAGAATGTTCCTCGGAACATCCCACTCACCTGGTTAAAATAAATGACCCAGCTAGCACTTGTGGATTGATATACTTGAATACAAAGTACAGAGATACAAAAAAAGAAGAGAAAACGCAAGTTCAAAGGCTGTATAGATAATACAACGCCGCTGACAGCGTCTTGCAATAAGCGCAACAGAGAACGTTAAAAGAATGCATGTGCTCGCTTTTGGGCGAGCACACACATAAAAAAACACATTTCTTTTTTTTTTTTCACGATTACCACAGGAAAAAGTCAAATTTCTGAATAATACTGATAAGGTACTTACTTTGTTTCCGCAGGTGTGCACAGCAGGGACCTCTTTGTCCGTTTAACCTCAGATTGTTATATTATATTAAAAACGCAACACCAGGTAATCCGTAAAATGGGAGAGCGGAACAGGGGAAAATTGTAATGTAATAGCTCACAACAAAGTTGGGAGGAGTGGCAGTAGTGGGCAAGAGGAAAATTAAAACACCATGCAAAGAGTTGCACATGAAACAAACGCTCGATCGACTACAAAACATTGTCAGATATAAATCTGCGATGAGGTAGGCTGTTTCATTCTGTTATGGTTCTGGGAAAAGAGTATTTAAATGCATTTGTAAGCAGATCAAGACCCTATGGCGTCGGGAAGTATTTAAATTCTTTTTTTATATTTGGTTTCTATTCATTTACACTGCAGGCCATTTCCAATCCCCAAGCAGGGTGCGACGAGAAGGAACAAAAAAAATAACAGTAAACCGACAAATCTGGTACACTGGAGATCACAAAAAGAAAGAAGAAAAAACACAAGTTCAAAGGCTATGTATAGATATAATAGAACGCCGCTCATAGCGTCTTGCAATAAGCTCAAACATAAGAAAGAAGAATTTATGTCCTCGCTCTTTTTTTTTTTCACGATTACCACGGGAAAAAATCAAATCTCTGAACAAACTGATAAGGTACTTACTTCGTTTCCGCAGGTGTGCACAGCAGGGGCTTCGTCCTCACAAGCAAAATACAAAACAACAGATTTCTCCGTTTTAACCTCACGTTTTATTAGGCTTGACGTCAAACTTTATTAGGCCGACAATGCAAGTTTCCGGACGAGCTGTCTCGATGAAAACACACTTGTTCCTATTCAGTGAATTCGCACGAGCTAACACGATTTCATAAAAACACTTTTTGCTTGGAGCAAGTTCTCAGTTGCCATTCAAGCGGTCTTGATTAAGCACAGGTCATCCGCAGCTGAAGGAGGTCACTTGAAACGGAGGGCCAGCCGTGCAACTCGCTCTTGCGCTGCACAAAAAGACAATCTTTAGCGCCCTACATTAAAGATGCACCGAACGTTCTTACGCCATACACATATCTTTTTTTCTTTTCTTCCGTGCGTCAGAGAGTGATGAAACGTTTGAGTTCGTAGAGGCCGGCTTCCTAGCTCCGCGCCGCCGCCAATTCCGTGTTTGATAAAAAAAAAACTGGTCCGACTTTACTCAACAAGATTAACAATTTAATCAAACGTTTCGTCTCCCATCCGGGAAACATCGTCAGTGAAACCTACAAGCAGGAATGAGGGGAAAAAAACTCGATTCCGTGTTTCGCGTGAAAAGAACAAAAGAATTCGTGCAAGAAGTCGGCTCCAACGGTCGCCCATGCACGCTGTGCGGGTTCAGACATTGCCTTCTTTGCTTTAGCTCACTTCTCTTCACCAACTTTCTTTCGCGGCACATTTTTCACGTACCGGGGTCCCCCTCGAAAGAAAGCCCACCAGGAAAACCTAAGTAATCAAAACTTGGCCAAGCAGTCATTGAGTTAGAGAGGGATTTTTATAGCAGCGTATGATTTAAACAAGAATGTCGACGCGTTTCAGTTTAGAAATATCTGCAGCGACGTGGGGACGGCAACACACGACGTCGCACGAAGCTCAAAAAGTAACTCCCGCCGCGCAAAAACGTGGTTTTGTTTCACAGCATGACGGCATGTTTGGCATCCGATACACTAGAGACGAGATTTTTGAGACGACGAGTACACGAAACGCGAGACGTCGGGAAAAATCATGCAAGACCAAATAGACGATTGATACAGGGTACTTTGTGTCGGGTGGCGTCTTGTGCGACCTAGCTTACACAATTACGGTTCTCAGTTTAGTTTCGTTATTGAAAGGCGACCAAAATTGCTTCTTTGGCGCAGATTAGCCATATTTCGGTGAAATGTAGCAGGATGTAGCAAGGTTAGCCCCTTGGTGCAGTTTGGCGCAATTATCACATCACTGGTATTCCATCATTTCGCGATGGAATACGCGCTTCAAAATACACTTTATATCTTTGCCGAGCATGGACCTATCAAAAAAAGAACTTGCATCAAACACGCATAGGTAATTCTTGCTCGCGCTCTGGTAAAGAGCCTTCAAAAAAACGACCAGCCGCTCCGCCTATGTGCGCCTATATCAATATAGTAGATCCCATTAAAAGCCTTCTTTGCCGACACTCGAAAAAGCGTGCAGAATCTCTCCGAGAACAACATTTCCATCTACCAACCGCCGAGCACAACATAATCTCCTCGCAAAACGCACGCGCTCACACAAACAACGACTTTGGGCAAAGAACAAGGAAATGAGCAAATACCTTCTCGAGTTACGGTAATCCGACCTTCTTCCGTTCTCGGCTCCTTCTGAAAGTGAGCCCGGGCCCAGACAGAACACGCACAGCAACAGCCAGGCGCCGTTGAGGCGAGGGTGACTCATCCTTGCTCCGACAAAAACATCACGTGACCTGGAGTGAGAAAACACACAGAACCCAAACCGAAACCCTGGATCATGATGATGATACCTTCTCCAAACCCCTAACGGTCAAAACCCGCGCAAAAATGTCGACGCACGTCGTAACGGTACCCAGGGTGCTATTACGTTCTGTGTCGACCTTTTTCAACTAGAGCCTAGAATTACAACTCTTTAATTAAAACCGACCGAATCTAAAAACAAAAATATCTATTGTACCCTTTGTTGAAATGACAACACTTTTCTTTTCTATTCCAGAAATCCTCTCTCTGCCGCTAGTCCCTACCTCAGTCGCCCAACTTCACAAACGGCCGCCCAAATCCACGTCTGTGTGTGCGCTTCGTTGCGAGTCAAGAGAAGAGGGTGCGCGGGCGAGCTGGTGAATGTTAACAACGTTGAAATAGCCCGAGACTGGGGTAGAGAAGAAGCTTGAAATAGTAGAAGGGACAGAAAATGTCTATTTTCTGTCCCTTCTACGATTTGATGCTTCTACCCCAGTCTCGGGTGATTTCAAAACGGCCGTGCCCCGTCTCAACGTGGACGCTTCCGTGAACGTGTGTGTGTGTGTGCACTTTCCTGGTGAACTTTGGATTACTCTGGACTTTGGATAACATCTGGACCGCTAGACACCATGCAAGGAAAGGTATTTGAGAATGCTTCTATCTCTCTCTCTCGTGGTTTGAATAGGAGTCCGGACTATAAAGCGCTCGGCCGCGCTTCGAAATCTCTTCTTCGCGTAACAAATATTGATTAAAAAAAAAAGTATTCGCTTCTAAAATTTCTCTTATTCCCAGCGTCATGTACACGCATTTCTTGCGTGGAACAACGAATGAATAACTGCTATGTGCGTTTAATTCGATCTAGAAATCCCGTCGCGCCCGTTTGTTTACTATCTGCCTTCCAGGTTAGACAACGTTCCTTCAAAAAATCCTAAAAAATCACCAATTCGTGCTAGAAGTGCGTGCCTCGGACGAGAGGTAGCGAACATTAAGAGCCTTAGTTTGCGATTAAATAAGCTTCTGCACGCGCCTAATTAATACTCAAAGTCGCGCTTTCCCACACGGCCAATGCATGAATTTCGCTCTAAACGTGCCTCCCCTGCTCCTTCAAAAAATCACAAAAAATCACCAATTCGTGCTACAAGTCCCTGCTTCGGGCGAGAGTTAGCGAACAATTAGCGCCTTATTTTACGATTAAGTAAGCTTCTGCACGCGCCTAATTAATACTCAAAGTCGCGCTTTCCCACACGGCCAATGCATGAATTTCGCTCTAAACGTGCCTCCCCTGCTGCTTTAAAAAATCACAAAAAATCACCAATTCGTGCTACAAGTCCCTGCTTCGGGCGAGAGTTAGCGAACAATTAGCGCCTTATTTTACGATTAAATAAGCTTCTGCACGCGCCTAATTAATACTCAAAGTCGCGCTTTCCCACACGGCCAATGCATGAATTTCGCTCTAAACGTGCCTCCCCTGCTGCTTCAAAAAATCACAAAAAATCACCAATTCGTGCTACAAGTCCCTGCTTCGGGCGAGAGTTAGCGAACAATTAGCGCCTTATTTTACGATTAAATAAGCTTCTGTACGCGCCTAATTAATACTCAAAGTCGCGCTTTCCCACACGGCCAATGCATGAATTTCGCTCTAAACGTGCCTCCCCTGCTGCTTCAAAAAATCACAAAAAATCACCAATTCGTGCTACAAGTCCCTGCTTCGGGCGAGAGTTAGCGAACAATTAGCGCCTTATTTTACGATTAAATAAGCTTCTGCACGCGCCTAATTAATACTCAAAGTCGCGCTTTCCCACACGGCCAATGCATGAATTTCGCTCTAAACGTGCCTCCCCTGCTGCTTCAAAAAATCACAAAAAATCACCAATTCGTGCTACAAGTCCCTGCTTCGGGCGAGAGTTAGCGAACAATTAGCGCCTTATTTTACGATTAAATAAGCTTCTGTACGCGCCTAATTAATACTCAAAGTCGCGCTTTCCCACACGGCCAATGCATGAATTTCGCTCTAAACGTGCCTCCCCTGCTGCTTCAAAAAATCACAAAAAATCACCAATTCGTGCTACAAGTCCCTGCTTCGGGCGAGAGTTAGCGAACAATTAGCGCCTTATTTTACGATTAAATAAGCTTCTGCACGCGCCTAATTAATACTCAAAGTCGCGCTTTCCCACACGGGCAATGCATGAATTTCGCTCTAAACGTGCCTCCCCTGCTGCTTCAAAAAATCACAAAAAATCACCAATTCGTGCTACAAGTCCCTGCTTCGGGCGAGAGTTAGCGAACAATTAGCGCCTTATTTTACGATTAAATAAGCTTCTGCACGCGCCTAATTAATACTCAAAGTCGCGCTTTCCCACACGGCCAATGCATGAATTTCGCTCTAAACGTGCCTCCCCTGCTGCTTCAAAAAATCACCAATTCGTGCTACAAGTCCCTGCTTCGGGCGAGAGTTAGCGAACAATTAGCGCCTTATTTTACGATTAAATAAGCTTCTGCACGCGCCTAATTAATACTCAAAGTCGCGCTTTCCCACACGGCCAATGCATGAATTTCGCTCTAAACGTGCCTCCCCTGCTGCTTCAAAAAATCACAAAAAATCACCAATTCGTGCTACAAGTCCCTGCTTCGGGCGAGAGTTAGCGAACAATTAGCGCCTTATTTTACGATTAAATAAGGTTCTGCACGCGCCTAATTAATACTCAAAGTCGCGCTTTCCCACACGGCCAATGCATGAATTTCGCTCTAAACGTGCCTCCCCTGCTCCTTCAAAAAATCACAAAAAATCACCAATTCGTGCTACAAGTCCCTGCTTCGGGCGAGAGGTAGGGAACAATTAGCGCCTTAGTTTGCGATTAAATAAGCTTCTGTACGCGCCTAATTAATACTCAAAGTCGCGCTTTCCCACACGGCCAATGCATGAATTTCGCTCTAAACGTGCCTCCCCTGCTGCTTCAAAAAATCACAAAAAATCACCAATTCGTGCTACAAGTCCCTGCTTCGGGCGAGAGTTAGCGAACAATTAGCGCCTTATTTTACGATTAAATAAGCTTCTGTACGCGCCTAATTAATACTCAAAGTCGCGCTTTCCCACACGGCCAATGCATGAATTTCGCTCTAAACGTGCCTCCCCTGCTCCTTCAAAAAATCACAAAAAATCACCAATTCGTGCTACAAGTCCCTGCTTCGGACGAGAGGTAGGGAACAATTAGCGCCTTAGTTTGCGATTAAATAAGCTTCTGTACGCGCCTAATTAATACTCAAGGGCGCGCTTTCCCTCACGGCCAAGCAGTCATTGAGTTAGAGAGGGATTTTTATAGCAGCGTATGATTTAAACAAGAGCAGGAATGTCGACGCGTTTCAGTTTAGAAAGCGCCATATCTGCAGCGACGTGGGGACGGCAACACACGACGTCGCACGGAGGAAAGAACAGTTGCAGAAAAAATATACTTCGTTTCTGGAGCAGCAGTGGGGAGCTATTATTTATTCGCATTTATAGACTGACACTTTGAGCACTTTCCGAAAGCTAAAGAAATTGTCCAATAGGCGTACAAATTATTTTGAATTTAAACGGAATTATTATTCTTTTTTTGCTGAAAAACCTAAACCACTTTCTTTTGGCAAATAATCGGAATAAAAAACTCGAATTAAAGGATAGTATAATGGACGTACACTTACCCCAATGTGTCGAACGAAAGGAGGCCCTTTGACGAACGCAGGAACCGTGAGGCGACGTTCGGGGTCCGAAGAAGAAGAAGACCGATTTCGGAACAAAGAACAAAGCAGGAGCTGGACACGGGTGACTACGCGACTGCTCCGAAGCACAACCGAAACCACACTGGGGCCGGCCTCTCGGAACAAAGGAAAGCGGAGGAGGATGAGCGAGGAGGAGAGAGAAAGAAACAAAGAGAAAGACAAAAGAACAAACGAGCAATTAGCGGGCCAAAGAAAGAAACCGGGGGGACAAACAAAGAGAAGGAAAAAAAAGTAACCGTTGCCACGGGTTACTAAGAAGCGTGTGCGCGCGCAACTTGGTAACGGCGGATGGATGGATAGATAAATACGGCTGAGCCCTTTGGATCCGGCGGTAGCTTACGCCACCTAGCCACAAAAACGTCGGGAAGGTGGATCGCGCTGCCTGGTGGAGGGCAGACACACCACTCGCCTCGGCTAGTGTGTCTGCCCTCCGCCAGGAGGCACTCAATTTTATTTTGAACTATTTATTAAGGGAAGCATTCTCGTTGATCTCCCTTCATTAATACTGGTCGTATCTCATCACCGCTGGCACCGATGTGTTCCTTGTTCTTTCTAGACTCTATGGACACCACTTTGAACGTGTGAAATAAAAGCTTTCGCGAAGCTACGACGCTTTCACCGTGGGCATGGTCATGGCGGCCAATTCTAATTTCCGAACCTGTGTTCGGCCCTCCGAGGCTGAATTTTCGTTTCCGAGACGCGATGTTGGTGTCAAACGTGAGCACGCGTTCCGTAGAAGACCCGACGACTGTAGTTTACCTCGGATCGAGTCGATGGATTACTGTACGGGCACTGACGCGACTTCCCGCACGAAAGCAGTCATTTTCGTGTTCGATATTGCTCACCGCTTCATCATTTGCTACCACAATTTGCTTTTTTGTTCTGAAGCGCTCCCTCGGGTAAAAGGAACGTTCGCTATGCGCGCGAGATTAATTTAATTCATTCATCTCGTGCGGCGCGCGCTCGGCGGAGCGGCTGGTCGTTTGAAGGCTCACCAGAGCGCGAGCAAGACCCGCGTCGAATACCGATATTTCATCCAACTGCTTCTTGATAGGTCTATGCTCGGCAAAGAAAGCTTTCACTATAAAGTGTATACTCTATAATTGAGCTCTAAAGCGCGTCCGCCGCGAAATGATGGAATACTGCCTCGGGAAAGGAGATGACAAGGTTCATTTTGAAATTGAGGTGTGCGATCAAACTATAATAGGGGGGAAAAAGGCATTCCACAATTCTGCGAGCCTGGCCTAAAAAATATATTTGGCGTGAGATCGTTTCGCGTATCTTTTTAAATGTAGGGCGCTAAAGATTGTTTTGTCTTTTGTGCAGCACGAGCATGTCGCACGGCTGGCCCTCCGTTTCAAGAAACCAATGGCCTCCTGACCCGAGTCTTCTTCAGCTGCGGATGACCGCTTCAATGGAAACACCGATTGTGACAACTCTCTGCGAGCAACATGTGTGTGAAATCGTGTTATCTAGCTCATAGGTTAAAAAAAAAAGAACACTATACGAACTGTGAGATTTTCATGGCAGGGTACTAATAAGGAAGTATGTTTTTACATTGAGACAGCTCGTCTGAAAAATTGTATTCTTGGCCTAATAAACTCTGAGGTCTCAAAAAGAAATGAGCTGATTCTTGTTTTTCTGGCGCAGTGAAGACTCGTTAAATGTGTCACTTCTTTTTTATTTATGTCTTCAGGCCCCTGCTGTCCACCTCGGGAAAAGGTTTGTTCCAGCAGAGCTTTTTGTAGACACGCCCCTACAGTACAACTGGCCTTTCTATTTTCTCCCCTTGTGCACTTTCAGGCACAAGATGAGCTCAGCTGAAGCATGAGTAACCTTCTAGCTTGCTACCTGTTCAGCTTCAACCCTCAAGCTACGTCCGTTTTCCCTTGACGGCCAAAATCTGAATGCAGGCGTTGTTTCTGCGCCAAACCAAAAGTGTGCCTTTGGTCTCCGAGGGACGTTCATTCTGTGTTATGGTCGTCTTTTCCAGAGACGGTGAGGACAAATACACATCTGTGCTGCTAGAGGGACTCCACACAACCCTACAGAGCTTTTTGTATACATGCCCCTAGAGTACAACTGGCCCCAACTTTTGCGTGTGCTGTCTCGAAGAAATTTGACACACAAACACTCCTACCTGGTGCGAGACCCTTCCCCAACAATTTGATAGTTGTACGAGCGAGCGGCAGCTCTTTGAAGTCTTGCTCGCGCTCTGGTGAGCCTTCAAACGACCAGCCGCTCCGCCGAGCGCGCGCCGCACGAGATGAATGAATTCAATTAATCTCGCGCGCATAGCGAACGTTCCTTTTAACCGAGGGAGCGCTTCAGCACAAAAAAGCAAAGT